TTGTGCAAGTTTTTTTTGAGGGGTGTAAATTTTAACAACGGCATATTTTATGTTTAAAATTACCTAGTAATTACCACTACAGAGCTGTGCATAATGTACTCAGTGTAAAAACATACTTTGAAGTAATTTTATTTATTTCAAGAAAATGTAATTTGCGTCTGCATAGGGTATTTTTTGAGTGAAAATTATATGGGCCTTGTAATTCTGCTTACTTCCTTCCTTTTTCAAGGTCGATTATTTCATGGAACAAAGGATCGATTTGAGCAAAAAATCATGGAACCGTTGAAACTTCGCACAATCAATGAACAACAATCAATATCCAGTTCATCGCTACCGGATACTCCACAATATACTCCGCCAAGCAAAGGTGGATCAATCACCGATGAAGTGAGTTCTTACTGCGAATTCTTGGTACGAATTTATTCCTGAATTCTTTCATCGAATACTACGTTGTTTTGAAAAAATATTGAAGATCATATGGCTATAGGCAAGGGTATAGATTGAAGCAACCTTGCAGAAGAAGTTAGGTCTGTAGAATGTACGCCACAGTAGGGTGGGTTTTCATCAAAATGAGCGCCTTATCCACTTTGATATACCGTAATGCTAAATTGGACTAAAAGACGTAGAATAGCGCAATTTTCAACTCGTACATTTTTAAAAATTCATCTCAACAGCTTCTCCGTCTAGATAACTCCGCTCTTATTAGTTTTTTTTTGTTGTTGAAATTTTACCGTAATTGTAGGTATTGCCCTCATTGAATGGATAAGATAGCATATCTTGACGAACTGAGACAAAGTCGAATTTTAAGCATAAACATCACATTGGATAGAACTACTTGAGACTTCGTAGAGGCTAAGGATGAACTAGATCGTTGGGGTTTCAAAGTGTGTGAAATATGCCGCTCCCGATTTCTATTCTCTTTACTAAGAAATAGTCTTTGAAATGTTGTTACAAATATAGAACAAATAAACATCAGTGAGAAGTACGAACCAATTGGCTCCAGATCCTTTTTGAGCTAATAGCAAACACTTATTGCGGGACGAAGAAAGCTACATGTCATTATATCTCGAAATGTGTTGAGGAAGATGTCGCTGATTGAGTATCTTGTGATTTTCAGCCTTTTAATCATTTATTCAAAAAGAGCAGCCTTGAAGTGGACCTTTGTTGTTTCATTTTTTACTTTCTTAAGAAATTGCAATTTTCTGCTGCTATCACTGCATTCCTATATTTATCTATTAACTCTAACACTTAATCTCTCAAACACTTATATTATATTGATCTTTATAATTACATCTGCTTTTTAGGATCGAACACTACCAACTGCCGCTTACAATTTTAAAGTGGAAAGCGGAAAAGAAAATCATAAGGTGAGGAATATTAAAATGACAATAAGTAGGTTTTTTAGTGGTACGTATAAGAGGCAAATACAAAGAATGCTCCCAGTAAATAACCGCAAAATATTGTAATTCGAAATTCCAATATCACACTTATTGTCAACTCAAATTATTCAATCTCCTTCTTATTCTATAACCCCCATATTTGGGATTTCAAGAAATTTTTTTTAGACAACCACCGAATACAGTTGGGTGCCGATACCTGACAAATCATTGGTA